AACTTAAAATAAACTCTACCTGCTCCCTGAGAGACACATCCTTGTAAGCAACATCTGATAACAATGTTACCAAGCAGAAGCTGAAGTTTTCTGCCACTGGAAGCAAGCCTGCAAAGAAACAGACAGCAAATGAGCCACTTAAGCATTGTCGGAGAACATCAACATAGAAAGAGCAAATAATAATAAAGGAAGAAGACATAAGTGATTCCCTTGTCATACAGTTCTGAGATAGAATGTAGAAAAACAACATTACATAAAAAATTTAGAAATATACTGTAACCAGTAGAATTTCAGCATGAAATGTTAAAAGAATAATTTAAATAATTGAATTTTTTCCTAGGCTTTCAAATAATAATTAAAAAAATACAGTATTACACAAAAGTATTCCTACAGCAATTTCAAGAGATACCAAGTGAGCAAGAAATTAAGGGGTTTAAATAGCAACTAAGCATTTAAGTGAAGAATAGAACGTACAAATCTTAGATTCTACTCTCCTGCTCTAACTGCTATACAATCTTCTCCAATTTAGCAACAAAATATATTGAGCATAGAATTATTGGATAGTGTAATGTATTGCAAAGCAGTCAGGCAAGAAAGGTAGGAGCTACTCAACTTTCTCTCTGCTGCTAAAGAAAATCAGTATTAAAGGCTGTTAAGTCAGGAGGTTAGACTCTAGCAGGACCTGTCAGCTCCCCTTGTACCATGCCCTGAATAACCCTTGTTATTTCTATTTCCTAGCTGTCATACCATAGAAAGATCAAAAAAATCCAAATATCACCTCTGCTTTTCCGTGCATTGCTTTCTTCTATCCATTGGACTTTGGGCAGACCCTTCAGAAGTCGAAGGAGGTATGGAACCACATTATCTTTGTGCTAAAGAGAAAAACACTCTTCTTAAAATGGAGAAGAAAAGCTGAACCATATCATCTCAAGCTACTTTATAGAAAGACTACACTAACCACACACAGAACTTGCTTCTAATGATTACTCCACAGGCTTCTTGAATATTGCAAAATTGATTTCAACACAGGCAAATGAAAATAAACCAATTCAGTGCTATAAATCCAATCCTTTCATTCTAGGCAACAGTTCGTGCTCCATGAAAGTTGGAGAAAAACATTAAGAACAGTAATTAACCCCAAACAATTTATTAATTTACAAGGTCACACAATAATTTTAAGGCATCTAGAAATTCAGAGCACCAGTCCCAATTCAGTACATGTGATCCATCTCATAGCCACCATTTCACACATCTTGTGTAACGCTTCAGCTTCCTAATCTGCAAATCAAAGGGGAGCACTTCTCTTCCTCAGAGTTGGATTAATTAATATTAACTGCTGGCTTTGGAAACAAAAAAAAACCCCACTACGAAACACAAACAGAACTGCCGTATTTAAACCATACTACAAAAAAATAAAAAACCCCACAACATTATTAACATGCATTCAAAGCTATATCATAGTAACTCAGTATTAAATAGGAAAAAATTCCCGATACAAACCCTAGCAACATTAAACAGCTTAAAGTGAGGACTAATGTCTTTGGACATAGGACTCTATACCCTTCCTTTCCTCTGCATGGAACACCACCACACCCAGGGTTTAAAGGGAAGAGAACCAGCTTGTCATTCACAGGCTGACGGAGACAAAAGGGGTGCTTGCTTACAATGCAGCCCACATGCACTGTCTTTTTATCCTGGGTAGTGTCAGGTATGAAAAGGCCTATTACAAACCTGACATTCAGAAGCATGTAGGGAAGAACAAGCAATGACAAATATGGTTTGAGCAAATCCTCCTGAACAGCCTCTTTTCTCTCCATGAGCCATCATAACCAAAAAACACGACAGCAGTTTGGCTGTGGCAGTGCTATGACACACTTGTCAGTGCTGTCCTCATTTCCTTTTGCTCTCCTGCCTGCATCCATCTGTTCTCTCTGATCGTTTTACTTATTTTTATGAAAAGTAAATACCAAATTTCCATTTTCACTGAACAACTAAACCTGAATTCACGCATAAACTTTCACGTTAAACAGAGTTATAGCTTAAGCAGGAAAAATACCTGAAGGTCAGATTCAATTAGAAAGATTCCTAAAGCAATCACAGCATCTCTGCGACGCTCATCTAACTGGAAAATCCCGTGGAAATCCACTGGACACATACAGAGCAGTTTTTGTACCTGAAAAAACAGCGGAGGGAAAGAACAGTGGAATAAGACTGAAACTGTCACAACTACCCAAGAGAACAACAGTCAACGTGTTAAAACCGTCTTTTACAAGCCCACCAGCAGACCTCAGGGAAGCAAACAATTGGCTCCCAACTCCTTCTTTATGGCACAGCCCTAGGGCCCAGCAAGCAACGGGCCTGGGGAGCAATGCTACAACTGCAGATGTTTTCAGAGCAGAGGAAGCAGCTGGCTGTGCTTTTCAAGACTCATTCCTGTGCTTGAAGTGGACAGTAGTCTTTCCACCCTCTGGAAGACAGGTGGCCACATTACTCTCCTTTAGTCATCAATCTTAATGAGAGCATCTAAAGGCGAGGAAAAAGTGATGAACGACAGAAACTAAAGACAGAAAAATCTCAAGTCAAACATTTTTACTACAACAGGGGTCAATTTAAAAGTTTTCTTCAACACTTGATCAAGTGTTTCCACATTTCAAAAGAATTTCTGAAACTTTCAGAGCATCACATTCACAAAGCTCATTCCTGCATCCCTGCTACAACAAAGCCTTCCTTCCACTAATTCATTGAGCATTTTGGATGGGCAAGAAATATGCAGCAGGCACATACGTTACATTAACTCCATTCCTGTGAACAAAAACTGGGCGGATGGAGCTTTGGTACAGCTGCATCAATGCCTTCTGCATATACAGCAATGAAAAATAAACTGTCACCTAGCTGGATATGGCTTTTGCTCAAATCCTTTTTTAACACAACAGATTAAGTTTCAAGAACTATTATTTTCTCACTACTTACCTATTATTTCTCTCCGTAGCCTGCAAACACGCATCTAAAAAATACAGTGAATCTCCCAAAATCTCCCAAATACTCCCCCCCCCCCATGGAACTGTTAAGAAAGGGAAAATGCCACAAGCATATTGTCTTTTGATAAATCCCCTTGATATTAATAAATATTACCTTAAATGAACTGTCGTAATAAATAACTATGTTTGAATACCAAGCTACTTCTGACTTAGATAACTCTTTAAACACTCCACCTCTAAATCTCTAAGCCAAGAAACTATTTCCCTAGAGAATTAGAAGAGTTTACTGGATGCTTTGTGGAATTCAAGATTCTGGTCCTTAAACTGCCACACCTCCGAATTACAAGACCTGTAACACAACACAAATAATCCTCAACAGAAAATACCGCAGAGGGAATACGAACTTTGTAAAGCAACTTCTGATGTGTACGTTCCACATCAGGTTAGTATCTAAGGTAATATGAGTGAATATCTTTTGCTAGATAAGAACTTTTAATATCATTTAAGTCTTGGAAGGGAAAGGAAAGTCCGTGGATATTAGTCAACCAGCAGCAAAGATTAAAAGAAAGTTATTCAGAGTTGGCTGTCAGACTAATAGACTCCCAGAAGAAGAACGAAGAAGCCTGCACCACCAAGCTGTCCACCTCTGCCCCCTGCAGGATCACCATGCTTGACCATGGCAGCTGCTCCGTGCCAGCAGCGTAGACCCATGAGGGGAACTACCCAGATGGAGATCCCACTGGTCTGGTTTGACGTTCAGGAGAGGTTTATCTCCACCAGGCACATTTTATCTTGAGCTGATTCTGTCGCTTGCATTTAACCAGATACAAAGTAGAGCAACCAGCCCCAATTAGACTGAGACTAATTACATCTACGAGACTGTGTTCCACAAACTTAGGGACATGCAACTGCTGTGAGGACCCACGCTCCTCATGAGGACATGGGGCCTGTTCCAACACCCCCGCCACGGCTGCTGCGGCGACACCTCCTTCAACGACGGTGGTTTTGGGTCAAGATGGGCTACGGGAGCGCCTCACAGGCCCAGCGGCCCCCACTGCCACAGGACAGCCCTCACTGAGGAGAGCGGCATCCCCCGGGCAGCGACACATACCCACCGGCGTGCCTCCAAACGGCACAGGGCCAAGGGAAGCGGCCCCGACCGCGCACCTCACCCAGGGCCACAACCCGACACCCTCCCCGCACACCCGGCACAAGCATTCCCGCAGGAAGGGCCGGGACCCCCGCCTCCCGCCGCGGCTCCCACCACGCCGACTCTTCCACGCAGACTCCACATGTGTGACAGACAGAGACAAGCCCCGCTCGCATGACGACCCTCCACACCGCAACTACGCGGCTCCCACACACGACAGCCCCAAAGCGCCACAGTCCTCGCAGACGGAACCCCCACACGATCCGCTCCTCACCTTCTCCAGCGGCGCGGGGTTCTGTACCGCCAGCGACCGCGCCAGCGACAGCACCGTATTGAAATAGAAGCCGCGCGCGGTGCCGGCGCTGCTCCCCCGCCCGGCACCCGGGCAGGGAGCCGCGGCCGCCGCCGCTGTGGTGCTGGCCGCAGCCGTGGCCGCTGTCGCAGCAGCCGCGGCTGCCGCTGCCACCGCCGCGGCCGCCATGTTGTGGTGGACTGCCAGGGGCCGCCCTCCCGCCACTCAGCCAGCCAGCCCGCCCCGCCTTCCTCTCGCGAGATCACCAGCTCGCTCGGGATCATAAAGATGGCAGCGTCCGCGGCGGCTTCATCGCTCCGCCCCTCGCCGGTGCCCCTCCCTCCTGCTGCACTGCCCAGGGCCCCGCTCTACAAATGGGCTCCCCCGGCGCGATGGCTCCTCCCAGTAACCGCCTGTCCTTCAGCGCTGCTCCCGTGTGCCCAGCCCGTCCCGGGGAGGGGAGGCGTACGGCGGTGGTTCCGCCCGACGCGCGGGGTCGGCCTGTGGGCGGAAGGACGGGCGAGGGCCGCGGACTGAGGGGACGCAGCCCCGGAGCGGCCGCCGTTAGGAGCCACCGCCGTCCCCAGCAGCATGTCGGGCCTCCCGAGGAGCTATAACCCCTTCGCCGAGGACGAAGAGGCTGAGGCGGTGTCGCCGTGGTCGGCGAGCGGCGGCGGGGAGGCGGACGGCGCCTCGCGGCAGCGGTACCTGCAGCAGGAGGTGCTGCGTCGCTCCGCCGCCACCGCCGACAGCACCACCCGCTCCCTCTCGCTGCTGTACGAGTCCGAGCGCATCGGCGTGGCCGCCTCTGAGGTGAGTCGCGGAGCGGGGATGGCGGACGGAGACGTCGGCCCCGGGGCTGTCGCGATGTACCGGCCGGGGGGATGACAGTGTATTGCTCTTCTTCCCCTCCTCCCAAGCACCTCTTTCCACAGTTGTTTCGGACACAGCGTATCTCTCTGCGCCACTGCGGGCGGATTTTATGGGTGGAGGCGCGTTTGGAGGGTGTTTTTGAGGTGAAAAAGAAACAACGCTTAGACCCTGGCTGTGCATCACAGGCTGTGACTCGGATGTGGTGTCAGCTGTTTATTAAGCAGCTCCAATCAACTTATTAATGGCATTTGCACCTATTTTTGTCCGACTAAAAAGTTTTCAGTAGTTCTCTTGGCTAAATGAAGAGCCTGCCCTCTTGGCTGTTTGTGATGGCCTGGCTTTGTTCTGATTAATCATTTCCTTCATTCTTCTGGCCGTGTATCAGAAGTTTGTCTTTAGAGGCATCGCTCAGAGAGGCCTTGTCCACTGTGTCACCTGCTAATGGGACATTTCCTTCAGCGTTAGTAACCAAGAGCACCCACAGACTGCAGGAGGTGCTTATGCTGAAGAGGTTTCTTGGTGGCTCTTCACTGAACTTGTGAGTTGTTTGCCCAGAAAAGCACGAAAGAAGCTCACAACCCTTGAATCGTATTTGCGTCTTTATTCAGGGGAGAAGAAGAATATTCCACTGGAATTCCCCAAAGTTTAGAGAGAATATGAGCACAAGTTTTTTGTTTTGCACTCATGTGAGCTGCACGTGAGTTTCCTGTCAGAATTAATCTTTGGATTACTTTGGAATAATATTTGTGTTCTTGACTTAGAAAATAATGTAACTGTATATATTAACATTTCTAAACTCTGCACTGTATGTACTTGCACTGCTCAAGCAATGGTATGAAGAAATCATGCTTTGATTTATCGCCTTTGGTTATTCTGTTTCTAAATTACCAGGAACATCCCAGTAATGTCAAAAGAGTATCACTTCCCAATGAAGGTGTCATCCTCAACTAGGAATACTTCTGCTTGCTCACTTCCCAGCTGCAAACCTTTGCATTTTCACTACATCACTCATCTGGTGCCACGCTTTTTCCATCAAGAAGAGACACAAATATCAACCTGACAAAAGACCAATACAGAAAATTCCTGGATGCTCTTTGTAGTAGGAGTTGAGAACCTGGTGTTGTGTAGTGATGAGAATCTTATAGCTGGCTAATGTAGCTGATAAGCAGCTCATGACTGAAATGCCCTGGGGGAAGAGGAGTGACTGAAAAAGCTGTATGCCTTCAGAAATAATCTACATGGGATGATGGAACTGCTGTTTTTCTTCAGAGAGTCTCTTAAATGTTTGATGTTTCAGTTTACTGATGCTTCCGTTCATCTTGGCTTAACTACTTCTCTTTTCCTCTTGGTATCTGTTAGGAGCTTGTACGACAAGGAGAGGCACTGAAGCGCACAGAGCAGATGGTAGATAAAATGGACCAGGACTTGAAGACTAGTCAAAGGCACATAAATAGCATTAAGAGTGTTTGGGGGGGCTTGGTGAACTACTTCAAAGCCAAACCTCCAGAGAACAAGCCAGAGCAGAATGGAACGTCTGACTATTATGCTAACAGTAGGTAAGGAAAATCCATGTTTTATTTGGGACTTATCTCCCACAGCATCTCTGAAATGTCATCTCAAAATTGGAACTTAAAAGATCTGTTGATTTGGGCAAGCAGACTCCTGAGATGGTGTCTAGCTCCCTATTTCCTTTTAACTCTTAGGAGAATATTTTCACTTCTATTTATAGTGGTAAGAATAACACTGAGAAATTAATTTGAACAGTTACAGAAAATTACACAAGTGATTCTTCACTCTTCTGAATTATCGTGCTTGCTTCAGTCATACCAGGAAGCCATGATTTCTAGCACTGACATGCTTCCAGCCAAGTATTATGTGTGCTTCTTCAGCTTCTACTAAAAGCTGTACATAGAAATTAATTGCTGTGAAATTAGTGTCTCACAGTACTTGTGTCTCTTCAGCTGAGGAATTTGTGTAAAGGCTGGTAGTGGTGCATGGATTGATTTCCTCCTTCCCTTTCCCTCCATTCTCCACTAGCAGAAAGCAATGGGTTGCCTCCAAGATGGAAGATAACAGTTTTGGTTTTGATATCTGAGTTACTTTCACTGCTAAAGTTCTGCTTTCACTGAAGACAAATGCTAATAGTTTATTTTAAAGTGATATGTTGCATCTGGTGTAATAAATATGCTGCTTTTGTGTTAAGTGTGATACCTATTCTTGTTTAATAGATTGAGCATGAGGATTGTGGTCCATAGGAACGTTTTCTTTTTATTCTTTGTTACTAGGTTAAAAGAAGCCATGATGTCTAGTAAAGAGCAAGAGTCAAAATACCAGGAAAGTCATCCAAATTTAAGGAAGCTAGATATAGGTTTGTAACTTTATTTTACACTGTCTGTCATCAACGCAGGGTGAAGGCAGAGACCCTTCAACTTGCCCAACTGCTGGCTTATGTTGCTGCTTAATGTCCGGAGATCTGTATCCCAGCCTTCAGGGCTCTGAATTCTAGTGAACTGTTTTCCCTAAATCTCTTTGTAGCCAAGAATCCATATAACAGGCAGGCAGGCTTGCTTGCCAAAATGTTAACATGCATGTGGAGGTGGTTCTTTTTAACCATCCCTTGTCATAGTTTTCAGATATATTTTTCTTGTTATTTCAAACAAGGACTATAATACTTCACACTGAAGTCATTACTTGATTCATGCAGGGAAGTATAGGGGTTTGATCTCATTCCTCATTCTCACTGCATCTTCTGTGATGACTTCTGTGTACAAAACAACTGCTCCTTTTTAAAGTGAAGTTCAATTTAGTTTAGCAAGAGTAAGAAAGCTGCAGGGTATCTTTACAGTTGTAGTCCTGTACATAAATAAATGCTTTTTTGGTAATGTAAATCTCCATTCCACATCGCATAGTATTAAAAGTCTGGCCAATAGAGGGCAGAAATAACTCAACTCTGGTGGTTCGTCCGGGGGGTACACTAACTGTGCTGGAAGTTACCAGCCCACCTGCTGTGTTACTTGGGTGGCTGGGTTTGTTTTGTTCTTACTATTCCCAACTAAGCAGCAGAACTACAAAAGGCTGCCCAAAACAGAATAACTGTAGCTTAATATCTGTTCATTTTGAGGGATGCCCTATAGATAGCACTGTTGGACTACTTTTGATTCTTCTGCTAACAGGTTATGTGATTACATAGCAGCTGTGGTCAGACTCATTTTTAATAACCCTTCTAAAACTTTAGAGCATCTTCTTACCAGCTTTTATCTTACATAATGTTTTGTACTTTATACTCTTTATAGACAATGATTTCAGCAAAACAGATTCAGTTTCTTCAGGGCCAAGGGATTCCTATCCGAAGAACCAACACCTGCGTGCTTACCACCAGAAAATTGATAACAACTTAGGTGAGTGTGAGAACTGATGCTGTTTCATGTAATGTAATTCTCAATTTTTGGCTCTTCAGCCATGGAAAATTACTAATATATTGCCAATGAACACTTTTTAGTTTAGTTCACAGGTAGAATTTGATAATTAAAATTGTTTGCTTGTATTTTGCATTTCAAAACTGTCTACATGGCAGAATGCAAAGCTTGATTGAAACATACATTATTTGAATGGTAGAATGCTGTGGGGTCTGTCTGTCAACTACTTGTAAACACTAATAACAAATCTGAGTTAGAAAAGCATTTCACCTGAAACCAGCTAAAGGGAAAGTGGCTAGGAAGCCTGGAAGTGAAAATCTACTGTGGCAACTGGTATGTTATTGGCATTAATACTTCAACTTCTTTTTCAACATGCTTGTGCTTTACAAATTGATAGAGCTGTCTCTGAGTGAAGAGACCAAGGAGGGGAAAAAAGCCCACACACCAAAAGCATGAGTCCTCTTAGATCCTTTACTGACAGTAAGGAAAACACTCTTACCAAATGTGTGTATGCTGGTAAATATGTTGTTTGAAAGAGGAAGTGGTGCTTAAGTATCTTAACAGTTGCAATTCAAGATAAGAATGTTTCTCTGAATCGTCCTGTAAGTTGACTGGGATATCATTGGGACAAACAGGCTTATCTGTTCTGAAAAATCTTACTAAGCAGGTGTAGCAGTATTATAAGAAAGACTGCTTCAAATTGACATCCACGTTATACCAGCGTGCAGACTTATTGCCTCTTTTTCTAAAGTTTGCTACTTACATTGAAAGATGCACTCAACTTACCTACCTGACAGTTAAACTCAGATATTACATTGCACTTCAGTTTGGACCCAAGGAATTTATAACTGTGTGCAGCTTTTGAAATAAACCTGTTTCACAGAAAATGGAAGAATTGAAGGACACTAAATACTTGATTTGTGAATTTGCTGAGTTGCTTTCATTACTTCCCCAAACCATTCAGCTGACTTTCTCTTCCTTTGTTCTGCAGCATATATACAAAGTGCCTCTTTGTATATATGTGTTTACATGTGTTGCTGTTTAGCTGACCTAGAAATAAGTGATTGGAAAGAAATCAGAAAGGAATGGATCAAAGAGAAATAGTCAAGCATAAGAGTTAGAGGAAGCACATTTGTTCTACTCACAAGCTGTGCAAAGCATATTAGTCTCAAAAGCATTTACCAGTCAATCATGCAATAAAATAGTTTCCCTGTAGCCAAATTAAAAATCTGGAAGTGGGATTCTTTATGTTAAATAACTGCTTAAATGGTCAGTGTGTTGGTATCTCTGCATGATGTTTACAGAAAAGCAATTGACTTAGCATATTAAGTATATTGAGAAAGAAAGTGCTCAATTTCATATTTTATATATATATAATATAAATTATATATATAATTTTAAGTGAAAACTACATTACGGGGTATGTCCCTTTATAAAGGTCCAATTTGGCTTTAAGCATCTGCAGTTAACGTGGAAGAAAGGAAGTAATTATTTCTGGTAGCAATGCAGTGGAAGTATTAATATATCGGTGCTTCCCCTGCTGGAGAAAAACACTCAGACTTGAGCACTTGTAACTAACATTTTCTGACTCGGGGTTTGGAGAAGAGGGAATCCTGACAACATCCATTTAAGCAGTATGCTTTATATGGCCTTGATTCCTTATGGTCACTCTCTTTGTTGACAGATGAGATGTCTTCTGGGTTGAGTCGTCTGAAAAACCTAGCTCTTGGGCTGCAGACAGAAATAGATGAGCAAGATGATATGCTGGATCGGCTAACAAAAAAAGTAGAGACACTGGATGTCAATATTAAAAGCACTGATAAGAAAGTCCGACAACTTTAAAGCATTTTTAGATTTTTTTTTTGGACATCAGTTTTTGGATGTCTCATCTCAACCCATCGCTTACAAAATCTTGGACAGTATCTGCTTCTCTTTGTTTCTGTTATTGATTTTGTTGTCATTAAAATTGCATAATCTTAAATGCAGCTTAATACCTTAACTTTCTTCTTCATGGGAAGTGCATGTTGAGTAAAATCAGCAGTTGGGTCAATGCTTTTGTGCTGGGTACCCCGTGCAATTGTGTAACTGTGCGTCATGTGTGTGGAGGAATTTGCAACCTACAAAGCTTCAGTGTCCTTGGCCTGGGAGCCGTGATGAGCAAAGTAACTGCATTTTGCTTCTGTTTTGAGGAGGGGATGGGGGAACAGAATGTGCTTCTTTGTTCAGAGCAAATGTTGCTGATTCTGTTTACCTACAGCTATGTGAAGTTCTGACAAAATGCCGATTTCCAGCTGTAAAGATAATTTGAAGTAACTGCTTTCTGGCTTTCTGGGGCTTAAGGAATGAACTGTTCTGTGGAAGTTGTAAAATACCAAGGGTGTCATGCAGTGATAATATCCTCTGTGTGTGTTCGCTTTCCTGAGATGACTTTTACCAAATGGTGGCTCCACAAACTACGCTTTTATATTTGGGTCACTAAATGCCATCACCTTTACAGTGCTTTCAGTAAGTTCTCTGAAGGTAACTTATGGTCTGCAAGAAATGCTGACAGTGACTCCAAGTGTGAGTAACAAAATCAGAACTTAAATGTTCTGTGTATGTGCTCTTAAAAATTCTTTTGTAGAAATTGTCACCATTTGCATTTTTATTTCCTGCTCTTTCTCAGTTTATTCAGTTAGGTGGGTATTTGAAAAATAGCTTCCATTTGAGAAATGGAGAGTTGGGCTGATACTGCACATACAGATCATAGGAGATTGTTATTTGAGTTCACGTTTATTACAAATGTGATTAGGGATTGAGCAGATGTTGCATTTTCCTAAGTAATGTGACTGGTTTTAAGGAACTCGGGTATGGTTCCCATACTTCCTTGTTAGCTTAGCAGGTATGAAAAGTTCCTGAAAATGAAGAACTCAAACATTTTGAGTCTTCCAGATAGAAGTTTGGCCTTGCACTTTGTTTTATTCTTGTATTAACTATCACTGTAGAACAAAATAATTACAATTCCATCCCAGCCTGAAGACATGACAATGAGAACTTGCTGTCTGGAAAACAAGGAAGTTATTTTGGTTTGGAGAGGCCAAGAGACCTGTATCAGTATTGCAGCACTTGCTATCAAGTGACAGATTGTGGCTAAGGAGAGATAGTTACTTTTATTGAGTTGGTGCCATGTTATCTTGTGAATTAAAGGAAGACCTTGGTGTTCAGGGCTATCAAGCTTGTAACCTTCATGAACACCACATTCACACCCTCCCCTTTCCTCCTCCCCCCCCCCCCCCCCAAGGAATTTGTTACCTTGAGCTCACTTGCTACAGAGTGAACCCAATAGTTGAGATGAAAGAAAACTTGAGCCTTTCTTGTTTTCCTGTGTCTCTTGAGACTTCACTTGTAAATCACTAAAAATGCTACACTTCTTGGACATAGTTTCTTACTAAAGAAACTATTTCTGTGATTTCTACCAAAGAAGAGTTGTGAATTAAAGTGAACCCCTGCTTCCCCTTATGGTACTGATGTCATTCATTTAGGTCTCTAAAAAAATGTTTTGCAGGGACATAAAACTTCAGCTTTTGAGTACCTTGTGAGCTTACTGAATACCTTTAATTGATTTTAATTTTTCACTGTCATTTATGCTCATTTGGAACCATAGGAAACCTTATTAATATGACTGTATCCTCTAACTTTTTTGGGTGTATACCATGACTAATTCTCTTTTACTCTGTTAAAGTATTTATGAATTCTGTGATTTGGTGTTGATGGTTGATACTTTTTTTACTACTTTTTTTTTTTTTTTTTAGCAAATGGTACAATCATTACTTTCCAAAATACCTCAGTGAAAGAAGATTGAAATTTGGATTATACCTGGTTTAGTTTAGTTGACTTTCTCCTTTTATTAAAAGGGTGAAGAGGCTTGTATTTTTAATGCTGAGTAACAAAAACACTTGCATCTTAGAAAGGATGTCTAAATTCTTTCCATAAGAGAGAATATAAAAAGTTGCCTAAAAATGTATAACACCTTGTAGTGTGAAATCTGCCGTCACCTGTATGGAACTACTGTTTTCCAGAGTAAGACTTTACTAACTAGGATGTATGCTGAGACTTCTGATTGCATTATGGTTAATGGAGGAGAAATATAGCTGGAGGATCTAGTTATGCATAATAAGAAATACAGAGCTTGAATCCAAGCAGGTTTGTTTTTATGTAAGAGTGAAGTGTGCTGCCTTTCTGGTGTAAGCTCTTCCATTTCTTTAGTCTAAATTATTTCACAAAGCAAAGTTGATTTTTTTGGTGAACTCTTGTATTAGCCTTGTGAAATGTTTACTGCATCCTGGATACCTTTGATGCCTTTAAAAACATAGGCAGGGAAGGGAAAATAAAAAAAGCCCTATTTCTGCTTTGAGAACCTCATCATCCAAGCAGAACATCAGGATTTCAGCCATGTGGAAGTTATACAGATGTCTAACTTCTTGTCTCTTCCAGCAGTCCCATTCACTGTATCGGTTGTATATGTCTCTGCTGAGGCTTTCCTGCCCTATTTGTTGGTTGTTTTTTTTTAATGGCCTTGTTTTAAAGGATTATTTCCCATATTGGATTTCTTTCAGGGGGAGGGCAGGGGGGAATGCTGTAGATTGTGCATGGATATAACTTAATTTCTGCTACAAAGTGAATTTCTTTTCTCGGCTTTCATGCAGATGCTCTATGCTGATAAAGCAGTTAAGTCTAATTGACATAAAGAGACACCACTGTCTTAGACTAGCGATTAAGTTTTTTGCTTGTTAGAATAACTTTCCATCATGCACAAAGGGGAAGTTTAAACTAAAAAAAACACCTGATTTTTGCCTTTCTAGGAAACGTCATTTTGTACCTGTTAGGAAGAACTTAGGTCAGTAGCTTTTCTTATTAGAAAAGTTTTCTTACTAGTAACACTAGATAGTCTTATTTCTTCTTGGATACTGCTGAGAAACTTACCTTGTGTAGGGTCTAGGACTTTCAGTGGAACTACAATTTGCACTCAAGTACTAACATGATAAGTAATTTTGCCTGAATAGTGGCATTGGGCATAGAAATTGGTGCCCTTGCATTAAAATAGCTGTGGTTAATTCATTCTTATTTGCTTGAGTAGAAGTTTAATATTAAGGTCAGAAGAAGTCAGTAGGAAAAAAAATACAGCCTTTATAAAAGGCAATTTTCTTGCTTTAAGTGGCTTGCTAATGGATTTTGAAGAGGTTTTAAACACCGGGAAGTAGCATACCCTTCATAACATAGATATAAGACACTAGAAACAGCAAACAAAAAAGGGGGAATAGCCAGTATCTGACTCTTAGCTGTATCTGATTTTTAAGTTTCCTGAGGATTGAGTTAAATATTGTAACAACTGATGTGTGGCTGAATTTGTACTACAAAGGTCTGTTGCTGTGCTGAACTCTACTGGCCTACTGAAATCACTGGGACACTATGAATCAGGTTGGGATTTTCCAATGTGTGAAATTCAGCTGAAATATTTTGCTGCCTTGTAGTTTTGTGATGTCATTTGTTAAATGGTGAAATAGGAAACACTTCCCAACCACTCTGCCTTCTGAACAAAAGAAGTTTTGTAGGCATTTTTACAAGCATACCAGGGTATGTGTTAATTTTTACTTTGAAACGTAGGGGCTTATCTTCAAAATCACAGGTAGCGATTATTTGTGTCTGGCTTTTTTAAATACTACTTTAATTCTGTGCCACCCAGGTATAACACTTTATACATACCAATTTAAAGTATCTGTTATTTAAATGCTTAACTGGGCTGTAGTTCAGCAATTTAGGAAATGGATTAAGTGTTGAATGTTAGTCTGTCAATAAAGGTGCTTATTGTTAATGAAGAGTTTTTGCATTTATTTCCCAATATTCTTTGATTACAACTTTATTGACACTTTTTTCCTGTAACAAGGTCTGTTCAAAGGCTGGAACTATTCTGTCAAGTCTGTGCCAGACTGGAAATAAATTTGCAGCTGGTGGGTTTTGGTTTCTGAGAATAAGCAGAGTGTTACCTTTCTACTTGACTCTTAAGTAGATTCTTTTAGATCCTGGAAGAGGAATGTAAACAGGCATTTATTTTGCAGAACTTTGACTTGTGATAGTAAAATAATTCAAGATACTGCTTGGAAAGTAATCTTGCCATACTGCTTGATATTACCAGGAATATCATAAACTAAGTGGATGCATGAACAAGGCAGGCAGAGCATCAGTAAGGCAAAAAAGGTATGCACAATCTTCAAAACTGAAAACCAACAGGTATGTAATAATCCCGTGTCATCCCAAATGTGCTGATGGCAGAAAACTCCAGAATGTCCTGACCTTCGGTTAGGTTCCTATCTGTATATGAAGGGGAGGAGCTTGGCTTCTGGGAATGTTTTTGTAGTGAAGTTGACTTAATTTTGTTTGATACCATAAAGCAGAGATTCAGAAGTGCTATTACAAAAGCTTGGAAAAGAGAAAGTCAATACACTAGAGAGAGATTGACAGGCTTCTTAAAACACAGATAACTTTGTTTTGCTGCCTTTGTGCTGAGAGTTCTTCAGCAAATGGCAACCAAGAGCTCTTCCATCTCCGCACCTTATTGTTGCATACAGAAAAAATACTGTGAAGAGCACAATGGAAGATGGTAGAGAATGGAGCAGTGTAGTGGATCCTGGATCTCTGCTGGGGATGTCAGCTTGCTCAGCTTGCATGAAGAATATGAGTCTTTGAAGAGAGTATCTCAGATCTATTTGCTTAAGGCTGGTCAGGCATTTCAGCCCTTCTGTGCTTTCTCAAGGACTTGCTTACAGTGCAGTCCTTGCCTTTCTGGGAAGTGAGAGAGGGAAGGGGAGCTAACAGGTGCTCATGTGAGTGTGTAAAACCAGGCAGAGCAGGTGCAGTTTCAGTGAAGGACCCCCATGCTTCTGCTGCTGAAAAGGGGTTTGGTTTTAGGAGGGGGTTCTACAGTTTGTTGTTTTGGTAGGTGGTTGGTTGGTTTCTTTGCTTCCAAATAAATACATCTTCCCAAAATGGGAAAATATGAAGAAAACTGCACTGGGGCAGAAGTGAAGGCTTGGGAAGGCTCAGTGGCAAGAAATCAGGGAGGTGCCCCCAGAATAAACAGACTCCCAAATCAGGAAGATCCCTGAATGCCAGGCAGAGATTTTGGAGCCCTGCCTCAGCTATAAAAAGTCTAGATGGATTGTGACTTTGCTGTTAGTGAAGCAGAACCTTCTAGAAAATGGCCTTCCAGCTCAAGCTGAGGATATTTTGGGGAAGACAATGGGCTTCCTTGGCATCTTCATTCTAGATGGTCTTCCTTTTTCCTCCACATTAATTGTAAATCTGTTGTTTCTGTTAATGGAGAGCAGTCACTTGCCAATGGCGAGTTCTGTCTACACTTGGAAGAAACCCTTGCCCAGGTCCTGTGTGTCTCAGCCTTCCAGGGTCAGCAGGAGTATGAAGGGTGCCACTAAAGCTGTGCTGTGTGTATTAACCCTTCAGTGTAGAAAGAAAACGAAGCGCAGAAAGTTTGGAATGTGTATGTCAGTTGCTGACAAGCCTAGAGGGTGGGAGCCTGCCCAAAGACGTTTATAATTTCACATCAGGCATGTTAGACCTGTTGAGGGAAATTACAGAGTTTAATTAATTCTCTCTTGGCTTTACTCAAAATTTCTTACTGACATTACAGATTTTGTAGAATTCCGTAGAATTTCTGGGCAACCCCAGTGTTAGTTTGCATCTGATGTTTGTTGGCTAGCTGGGGCTTACTGGCTAGCTCATCTGAGTGCCTTTCAAGAAAAACTCCTGCAGGAATTCCCTTGTGTGAAGCAACTGAAAGGGGTGGTGATGCAGTCTGCTTTTGGCTTCCAGTAAGATCCATAGCAGCATCAGTACAAAGCTATTGCATACCAACACTCAGAACATCAGGTTCTGAGATTCTTTATTGCCCTATTTTCACCACTGCCTTGTGCATGGATCAGCCAATGTGCTCATATCTCTGCCCACTGGTCCTTTAGGAGGATGATGACAGGATGTTCCTTCCCTCTTTTGAGTGAAGTCTAGGCAGAGAGGCAGCCGAGGAATCCAATAGTACAATATAAATAGTAAGGTTGCAAAACTGCCATGTAAGAAAGCAAAGGTTAAAATCTGATTGCATTCACCTGCCCACGGAGAAAGCTTTGCGAGGTAAGGGCAGCATTCTGCTAACAGCACTGCAAAGGAGACCCATGAGTCATCTGATCTGCTTCATCATACATTGCTAAGTTATAGGCTGTTGGCACTTCTGCCACTCCATGTTCAGTTGTGACAGAGCCAGATAGAGAATATTAATTAGAACACACAGTATTGTGATAAGGAGAGGAGAATATTCTTTCCTAAATGACACAGTTGCAGTAATTCAGTGATGGGTTAAATTTTGTTGGTACGTGTTTAGCAGGATCTCTAATGAACTAAAAGTGAACTGCAATATTAAACAAAGTGCAGGTGAGAAAATGAGCTTGTTGGGGTACTGACACCAACCTTAGTAAGCTGCAGAACAACTCCAGTGTGTCACAAACTGACATCTGACACACAGCAAAAGTAGCCTTGTTCTCCAAAGACATAAAAATGGCCTTAGAGCTATGAAAGTGCTTTAGAATGTCTGCTTTCTCCCTCCCAATTAGGTGGCAGACTTTCCTATTGAGCAAAAATATCATGGGGAAACTTTGTGCTGAATTATAGCAGAAAATAACAGATTCCTCTGCTTTTTATGCACACACTTTCTCTTAATGCCCACTTGTATCAGTCAGGGGAGTATCTTCCCATACCAGTACTGTTTCAGAAGTTCATGTAAGTTGTAGTCTAGCTTCTCTATCTGATCTTTCCTAATTTCTGACTTTGAAGAGTTTTTCTTTTCCTCAGCCGTATCCCTCAGCAGTTTTATGTGCCATCCAAGCAATGAATTCATTACTCAAATTTGTGTGATTTAGTAATTTCCTGGCACAATGATTCCAAAACACGTGGGAGGAAAAACAGAAGGATTTTTCCATCTCCAGGTGTTTACTGGCCTAATCCTTGCTCTTGACCATTCTGAATGGCTTTTTGTAGAGCTGCATTTCTACCGCTTGTCAAGCGTAGTGTCTGAGAGACCATGCAGTCAGAGTGTGCAGCTGAAGGTGATGGGAAGCAAGCTCATTCTGATGTACCTCACCACTCTTGCATTTCTAGCTTTGAACTTCTGGAGCTGTTTTCCACAATTTCCATAAGATGAAAAGCATCACTTTTTTACAATTGCCTGCTTTACTAATCAGTGTTTGAGATGCAATATTGAGGCTTTATTCCCTACTCAAGCAAACATGCTGAGTTTACAGTGGCAGCCTGCCAGAAGCCTCAGGGGTTCACCTGTGCTGAAGTGAGGTAAATGAACAGCACACCCAAAGCAGCTCTTCACTGTGGGATACAGCAGCACACTAATGGTCTCCATGTGTCACTGGACACCACATACCCCACCAGCTAGTGGCAATGACAGAGCAGTGTGAATTGGGTGCATTAGAAGGCAAAAAGCCAGTCTTAATTCAAGAATGTACTTATTTATGAAATTGATGTGTATTTATGTTGAGTGTCACAATAAAACCGTTAAGCTTCCTTACATATTTGCAGTTGGACATGTGTAGACTTACTGCTGAGTCAGCCTGGCCATGTGGGTGACCTGTGTGGTTCTCCAGGGAATGTCTCTGCTTCCCCAAGCGCCTCCAGTTTCAGGGTTACGAAGCCAATTCCTGTAAAAACAATTTGGTATTTGAGAGCATCATTAATTCCAATTTACCCTTCCTTGGTGTAGTGATAAATAATGGAACTAGATAACATTAGAAGAGACATTTGTTCAGCCTCTACAAACTTCTTACATACCTGCCCAAAAATGCTTAGAAGGAGCTGTCATAAGAAAAGGAAGAGAACTTCTGGCAACAGTCTCAGATGCTCTGTTGTTTAATTGTTCAGTCATCTGTAAGCCATGTAGTATAATGTAGTTTTATTTTGACTCTCATCAACTGCTTTGCTGTTTTAGTACCCCTGTCTTCAGTACGGAGTGACTGGAAGGTTGCCAAGTAAAGGGAAATCTGTGTCTGAACAGCCGGGAGGGATAATATGTAAATCTGTTGGAAAGAGGCAATTAAAGGCAGTTTTGAGATATAATGGAAAATAGACAATATTGAGCTTCATCAGAAAAGTCAACGTAAACAGCAGCTACTGTACTACGTCTCTGAAGTGAACTTGTTGCTTTAAATAACTGCATTCTACAGAAAACAGATGGATCATGAAATCTGTGAGCAGGCTTCCAGAAAACAGTTTTGGTCTTCAGGAACATGTCCATGTTGATGTTCAGTGTGCCCTCCTGGCACAAGAGGACTAAAGGCAGCTTCTCCTGCTGTTGTATTTACATAACACGGAGAGGAGCTGGAAAGTTGGATTACATGCAAGACAAATATAGCTGAAAATAATACTGCATGTCATATGTAACTATGAATGGACATGAACACAGAGGAAGTGCTATCTGAGATAAGCAGTACAATAAGCGCAGCCTTCATTGCTTCGTAACCCAACAGATGAGGAGGTAACACACCAGTGAAACAAATCAGGAAGCCCTGACTAACCAGAGGGACCATTCTGACAGTTTACCAGAATCTTGGTGTCACCATCAAATCCAGCTGCATGGGATTTTTACAAGAGTGGGTGGATTGGGAAAAGTCAGAGCATTCCAAAATATTTAACTTTTTATTACAAATGAGGATGGATTCAGGCTGGTTTAATCTTACAGCCTATGTTTGACTGCCCTTGTTTTGAAATCATTGATCAAAAAGCTCAAGATTTCCTGTATTCTACCAGACATTTATGCAGCTGCTTGTTGGCCCCCTTTGTGACTGAACATGATCAGTCACAGCCCAGACATTGCAAATCAAGCTCCTGTTTGCAGACACAAACTTGGCAATATGCATTAACTGAACATAGTTCTTGCATCAGGCAACACATCATGTGCTGTCTCAGTCACATTCCGAACTAGAAGAGAAACATGCAGATATTTCAGGATCTTTGGGAGCGCCTGTGAAAGTGGTTATTTCTTAACATTAAACTTGTTTTTTGATTCTTGAGTGCTCCTCTTCCAGCATAACCAAAGAAACATGAGAAGAGCTGCTTAACAGTTGTGTTTCAGTCTTTATGAAATAGAAATTGATAAAAACATGCACAAGGTGACTCACTTCATCAGCTAGGATGGAAAAAGGAAAATTCTGACACCGGGACTAGGAATCATACCTTTGCTTCCAGGATGCATCATTGCATGGTGCAGGAAGAGGGAGGCAACAAAAAGCTACTTCAAATAATTGGATCTCCACACATTCTTTTTTTAAATTAATACTTCATTAAATAATGTTTTTTACATACCAAAGTTCTTCAATGAAATGCAACAACAAAATACTAAAGAAATGGTTTAATTAGCACTTCACAGGCTTTCCCTTTTATTTTTGCATTTACTAAAGATACTCTGCATACCTGGACCAGCACAGTTTGCCAAAAATCAATGTCACCTTTTTATATTGCAGGGCACCTCTCAGGCCTTCAGAAAAGCACAAAGTACCAAATCCTCCTTTAAGTCAGAAAGACCTTTCTAAAAAGATGGGTACTTCTAAAAAAAAAATAACTATACTCTAAAAAAAAAGAGGTTTTCTCCCTTTATTTAACATTCCTCATACAAGTAGTATCAGTTACACCAAAAGCATCAGCATAAAGGGAGGGGCATCTAAACTTGTCCTAGTGACAGGGTAACAAACATGCTTATTTATTGCTTCTGCTGGCACTGGTTAGGAGTTTTTTTAAAGGTAATTTAGACATTTCTTTATGAGGACTTAGAGCATGTAAGTCTGTGCTTATCTACAGTTTATTGTAACTCAGCTGTCTTGCTTGTTGTTTTCTCTAAAACCTAAAAAGCAGCAAACAGGTATCATTGTTGAATCTCTCTGGGAAACATCCTTGTGTTGTGTTTGTGTCTTGAATATTCTAGTTAAGACTGAAGCTCCAGAAAAGCCAGTCTGTTACATTCAGCTTATATAGGCCATTAAGAACAGTGAAATGCAAAGAACTTCCATTAAAACCTGTTCCACAAACAATCCAAGACAGAGAAAGCCAAGCGTGAGTAAGAAAATTAGGGTGACTTTTATCTTCAGCTTCATGAAATCCTACGAGCTGATAGGAAAACACAGTGCCTTTGTGTTGTGTTAAATAGCATTACATGGTCTAACAAAAACCCGGTTTTGAAGGGGAGAACATAGTACAGGAAATAATGGTGTTTTCAGGAGGGGATTTCTGAACCTATCTTTAAAGTTAATGTGGGCAAAGGTACAGATTCATACAAAAGCAGGAATCTGGGCATAAAGAAAGGGAACAAAAATATTTCATGAACAATGAAACTAAATCAAGAAGGTGCAGACCTTGGTCAAAGATTCTTTTTTTCCATGATTTAGGTTGACTGCTTCATAGACCTGTCAGTAAGGGTTGAACTCCCACTTCAGCCATTCCTTCGAAATAAAAGTCTCTCTCCACTCTCTGGCTGCTATTCTCATGAGACTTGCAGAAATCAAGTATCTTTGAGCTTATTCTGCTCCATCATGGACAGCTGAATTTGGCCAATGTTCTCAAAACTTATTATGGTGTGGAGAAGAAAACAGGCAACCATAGGGAAGGCATAGTCATAAAAGACTTGCTCCCTTCTGGGGCCAAAGGGAATTCATAGCTTGTGAATTTAGAGAGTGCTTCTTTCCAGGATTAAAAGGAGAGGAAATATATCATAAAGGCCCTGTAGAAAATTAAGTCTGTTTACCATCTGCATGGTTTACTACTATACTCTAAAACGTAATGAGGTTTCTGCTTTTCTTGGCTTTCTTCTGTTTCCTGGATAATATAATAATGTTAAGAAAATGAATACTGAGGTTCCCCTGTCAAGGGTCTATTTCAAAGGAAATAGCTGAAAGGCCCTAACAGTCAATATATTCAACATTTCCTCAATCACCCTATTAATCTGCAATTAGAAAACTTTGGCTCATTCAGTTTTGCTGTAGGACAAAAACCAGAAGAAGCTTTCATGTCCTTTCCAGCCTTTTATTCTTGTATCCTACTTATGCACACTTACTGGTTATGCTTCTAAATGGCATTTAACCACTCAGACCATTTAGACTAAGATTTTACTTGGTCTGCCTAAGTGCAGCTTGGTTTCTGTCATTCCAGAGGGAGTGAAATCAACAATAGATGAACACTTGAATTATATTAGCTACCCCCTTTCTTTCCATTAGTTATATTTTCAAAGAACACGTTTACCCTCTATCCACTTGATGGATGAGCTGCCAGAGAAAACACTCTGGAGGAATTCAGCTTCTAAAAAGGCTGGCGTAGCAAGCAGCCATGACCTGCCTGTCATGGTTTTGAGGACAGACATCGACTCCCATGCCCTTTATTGGGCTTTGCGTCACTGACCAGTGGACCTCTGTTTTTACAAGGTTGAGCTGGAGGAGTTGCAGTTTCAGCTGATAAACTGCTGTGCTGCAAGCCCTGGAGAACACAAGTGTCCAGAGAAGAAGCAAACAACTGTGTGAATGTACAGGGAGAATGAATGTCAGCACACTGCACAAAGACAGACAGAAATGGCTTCTGTAAGTGGAAATGCTTCTGGGAGGAAAGATACGTGTATTGTTTGCAAGTTACGAGTAAATTATGTATCATCATGGCATTCTCTGTGGGGAATCTAAAGACCTCCAGCCTGCACTGCTACTGCCTCTATACACTTCTGTTTATTTTGACATTAAATGCCATCAGAATCTATCATCTACAGCAGAGCTTTCCATGCACAGGAAATACAGGATGGGGCTTCACATACCAAACTAAATTCATGAAGTGACCTTTGTCAGGAGTTAAATCCACCATAATGGAGGTTTTCTTTGAAATACTAAGCGTGGAGAACACTTCTCCTGCCAGAGAATGATCTAGAGGGAATTTAAACATTAAATAGTTACATAGTAAATAACTGCAACAGAATCTTTACATTTAAAGTAATTTCTCCAGAAACATTACAATTTTTACCAGTCTGCTCACAGGAGCTTGCACAATGACTTAGGAAAACCACAGAAGAAATCCATCCAGAGCCTCAAAGTGCTTTGTATGACCCACAGTTATGTGCTCAGTAAGAAGAACAGATGGGAAAAGGAGAATGGAACTCCATGCAAAAAGAACATTATTCAAATGGAATTCTGCACTAACATGGAGAATGACTGCAGGACATGTTCAAGGAGTGAGTTCTGGATGGGAGATGATGATAGGAGGCAGTTCTTCACTCAGCAGTGAGGAGCCTGTTGGAAGGAGAGGAGAGACAGACTGGAGGAAAAGGGAGGGCTCTGCTGTTTCCAGGAGACAAGCTGGAAAGAAGTCCAAGGGGTGAGGGTGTGGTTTGAAAAACAGGAGTACAATTTCAAACTGGAAAGCAAACAGGGCAGCTCTGGGATGCACGAAATGTCAGTTTTCTCTGTGCAAGACCAAATCAGAACTTCTGAAGTTGTTATGATGCTCTCTCTTTGCTGCACCACATCTTCATGCTGTGACTGTTGACACTGAGTTCCTAAGGCTTGCATTTATCTGTTAGGCAAAACACTGACTGACAGCACCAGATAGCACACAGCTGGGACAGATGTAGCTCATTCTGTGTTCAGCATCAGCTCTCCAGCAGTTTGCAGTGGTCAGCCACAAGCAAACAAGCACACTCAAGTCCAACCCGCAGAGTCCCTGTCACTTGGAGCTTTTCTTGTTCACACTCGGGCAGGTCTCCTGCTGTCAACAAGCAGACGCTCTCCCGTATAGGCCAGAATATGTGCTGGTGCCTTGTAATTTGTTTATTTAAATCAAAACACTGAACTGGCCAAACATTTGCAAATTGAACAGATTTGTAGTTAAAGGGTAATTTGAACTGATGTGGAGGAAGACTCTAAGAGGAACGCTTTAAGAGAAATGCACATTGCTTTTCCACTGAGACCTCCTTAGCTTATTCTGTGGGAAGAAGTCTAGGAACATGCACAATACATACAATATTTTTGCATGTAAATAGCAGCCCCTCCAAGGCAAAAATGCAGCTCCTCTCAGGGCTGTTCCCTCATACTGAAAAAAGAGCATCAGGCTGTCATCCATAGAAGGAGCCAGAAAAGCAAGCATTTGGAGGAGAACAACCTCTGAAAAAACAGAAACATTTACCAGGAGCTTTTCCATCTGCGTTGTTAAGGGATTGCTAGGGATTACAGCCTTCTCAGCTGCAAAGCACTGTGGCTCTGCCTTTTATAAAGGAGCAAGAGAGTAGCAGTTAGCTTATCAGACGGCTACTAGCACAGCAAGCAATTAGAGATTCAAGACCCTTTACATTTCCTGTTAACAGACTACAAACTGTAGGAGAAATACCTTAAATAAGGCCAGTACCTTTCCATTGAGAGATCCCAAGCTAAATAGAAAAGGAGGTTAGAAGATTCAGTTAAAACATCCCTGCACACAGATGACTGAAGACAGGTCAGCCTTTTTAGCAGTGGAAGCTCAGCTAGCTGCAAAGTGAAGAGAAAATGGCAAAACACTTTTTGCATTTTGATTTGTGTCAAGATGTCAGAGGCTCTTCAGAGCTGGTATCACTTGCCAAGAACTACTCCTGTGACCTACAAAGCCAGGTGTTAAAAAGAGCAGATATTTAACCACAGAACAGCGTAAAGAAGGTACAAATGAGAAAGCCAGCAGCAGACCAAAGTGTGGAAAGCACTTCAACATACAGGGAGATTCTTTGTTTTACTGTGAAAATCATGGGATGTTGTAATTAGGATTTGGCCAGCTGGGAGTGGGCAGGAAGCACTGTATTATTAAAATTGGATTGAAGAAATATAACACACCTTTAATTTTAATTATACTTTAAAAGATATTTGATTTCCTTAGCCAGTGATCTCTCTAGTTCATGTCAGCAGTTTGGTGCCAGGCTACTAAGAGTGATTGCACACAGTACATAGTGATTTTTGTGCATGTGTAATTCTTGTTATTAAAAATCTCAGAGACAAACCTGTTCTTTCCTTTGTCACAATTTTCTTTAAAATACAAATGATATAAAAAAATGTATCCTATAACTGTGTGCATTACTTAAGAGATCCTACTTCATTTGTGACAGAAGTGATGAAAATCCGTGGTTCATTTTTTTCCAGAGTTAATTACCCATGAAATAGAAAGCAAAAGCCAGCAATTACTTTGAATATAAATAAATTGCTTCTATGAAGTGATTGTGAGCTGACAGAGGCAAACACAGAACAAGTTCAGTGTGCCAAAATGGGCTGGTTACAGGTCACATCCTGATGTCCCACTGATGGTCTGGTCTCTGCAGCACTTTTGACTTGCCCTCATTTAGAAATTTATGCAGCTAAAAGTGAACATCTCCTTACAAACATAGGGAGCTGGTGCTACTCAAACCCTTTTGAGGTCATGCAAAGGAAAAGTTGTCACCACCTCAGCTCCAGTTTTGCTTGCTTTTGAGAGAACAGACCTTGGTGCCTAACCCGAATCATGAGTCCTGCAGGAAGAGCTACAGATTCCAGATTTCCTGAGGGATTGGGCTTTAGCAGCACATCAGTTCCAGCACCTTCTGCTACCTGTTCAATGGGCTGTCCAGGTTTTGCAGACCTTTGGATCTTCTAAACACAGCAAAGGGGTTCCCATGGCTGCAGCCTGCAACTGCATGCTCCAGTAGGAACCAAGGTGTCTCTGCAGAGCCGTGCCTATGATTCCTTTGGAAACCTAACCCAGTTTTGGTAATTCCCAGCTCCATGTATTAAAAACAAATGAGGTTAAGTGAAAATAATGAGGTTTTAAATTGTAATATATTTTGAATTGTTTTAATCTGCCTTCTGGTTTTGAGTCTTCAGGGGTCCCTTGTTCAGCTTTTCTTTGCAACCCACAGCATGAGAAACTCATTTATGGCGCATTAAATCAGAGATTCTCCTGTAATCTTGTGCTTCCCAGAGCTTGGCTCTCTGAGAAAATGTGAACAACATGATGCTCCGGGTAAAACTGCTACAGCTAGCAACACCACAGCAGTTTCCTTCTCAAAGGATTACTGTAATTTAGGAGAAATGCTATAGCAGTAATGTTACCTTCACCTCCCTCGTCTGATGCTAATGGGCTGCCTAGGAGTGAGGGTAAAAGAGAAATGTTGATATACACCTGGCATGCTGGACCCTTCACTTCTTATGCAGTTAACTTTCCAATTTGCCATGTCAGCTCTCTAGGGAAGGAGCCACATTTCTGTTTGGAAATCCAACAGGGAAGGACAGCTTTTCAAACATACCTGGCAACGGTCACAGAACTCCTCACCCACCTTCGGGCACGGCAGTAGGGAGCACAGCCCATGTGGAGCTATGGCCCGATGAAGGGTCACTGAGCCCCTCGAGGCTCCCGACGGCTGCACCAGGCGGTGCCTGCGCCAACCCCTGCGCCCTGATCCTGTCCACGGCTGGCAAAGGCCGCGCGTCCCCGCGCTCCGCTGGCCGGGACGAGCCGGTGTCCAACCGAGGAGGGGCAGAGCCGCTCTTTGCCACAACCAGACGCGACGGCAGGTGCTGGGGCAGGCCGCGGGGCTCGCAGCCAAGGGTCGCAGCCGAGCTGCGGGACCAGGACCCCCAAAGCGCTGAGGGGAGCATCACCCCCGGCACCCCCGCCCCTACTGCGGGGCAGGGCGAGAGAGACCCGCGGGGCACCAAGGGCCACCAGACCCCCGCCGTGCTGCGGACAGCTGGGGAGGGGGCCGCGTCACGTGGGTGCGTGTGGCAGCAGCGGAGGGATACAGGGCTGTGACACCCCTCTGGCCGCAGCCGGGACTGGGAAGCCCCCCCATTCTTGTCGGGGTCCAGCCCCAGCCCCAGCACTAAGCGGGAGAGGGGAGCGGCAGGGGAGAGGAGGACGGCAGCGGGGTGAGGGCGGGCAAGAGGCGGGGGCCAAGAGGCGGGGGCAGAGGCGCCGCGGGGAGGGACTATTTGAGGAGACCCTGGCAGGCTGGTGAGGTGCGGAGTGATCCCGCCGTCAGAGTGAGCGGCCCCGAGCTGAGGCAGAAAAGGGCGGTGAGCCCGCGGGGCGCCATCCAGCGCGGGACTGCGCCTGCGCCGATCCCCCCTCCCCGCCGCTGCGTGGGGTGCAGCGGCGCCCGCCCTGCTACCACCGCCGGCCCCTGCCCCGCGCCCCGGCCCCGGGGAGCTCGCCCTCAGCCATGGCCCAAATACTGCCCATTCGCTTCCAGGAGCACTTCCAGGTGAGCGGAGGGGAGCAGTGGAGCTGCAGGGACGGGGTTCCCCCGCCTCTGTCTCACCCTGTCCCTGAGGAGAGTGGGGGGGCCGCGGCCTAGCCGGGCCGGGGGCGCGCTGAGGGGTGGGGGCCGGGCCGCGGGGAAGCCTTGTGTGGTGGGCGAGCCCCCTCATTCTCTGTGGTGCGGGGCAGCCGTCCCGCTGGGCGCCGCGGAGGTGAGTCCGCTCCCGGTGCGGTCCCTGGGGCTGCCGCCTCCATCCGTCCATCCATCCGCGGCCGCTTCTCCGCGGCGTGCGGAGCGACCGCGATTTGTGCAGAGTCACTCGCCGCCGGAGGGACCTCCCGCTCCGGGGAGGGGGAGGCGCTGGGCCGTGGCCGCGCTGTTCGCCCCGGGGGCTACCCTGCTTCGGCTTAGGTGGGCGCCTGAGCTTTGTAGAGAGGGATCGGGGTTGTTCTCTTTTGCCTAAACTACTGCCAGCCTCCGGATGGCCGGGGCTCCAGGGATCCTATTTCTGTGCAGCTGGAACTGGGAGGAAATTGGTGAGATGAAGTGCAAGAAAACATTTGGACTTGAGAGCCTCTGTCCCTCGTTCCAAGCATAACTGTATTAAAAATAAAGGAAAACCCCAACCTCCCCAAAAATGACATAGTTCTGTTCTGAATAGCCTGTGAAAACCATAATGCCACTATTGGAGAAGATCCATGACTAATGGATGCAGCATAGACAAACCGGTTTATCTGTTTCCTTGTGAACTGGTGGTGAGGGAGGGTTGTAAATGGAATGAGAGCAGCAGGCTCTGAACATGCAGTTTAAGGCAGGAATTAAAGGAATTTGCTAAATGAATGAGAGAACAGGAAGTGGACTTGGCAAGTCATCCTTCTGTCTCTGGACCGCCCCTTTATGTCAAATCAGGCATCCATTTCAAATTATGAACTGGGTATCGTCCCTTGGTGTGGACTTTGTGCCACTTGAAGCATTTCAGCTTGGGAAATGGTTATTGCCACTTCCAGTGCCCGTTGGAAGTGTTTTTCTGCTTGACTGGAAGGACTGTCTTGGTCACTCTAGGAGCCCTAGCCTGGAATAGGACTGGGAAACTCCATAAATACCGAGCCTCTGTGCCCAAGGGAGCAGGAACTCCTGTCTCCTTGGAGTTGTCATGGGTTAAGAGAGTTTAACATAGTGCAGAATTATACTGTTGCTTCCCCACCCCAGCCACTGTCCAGCATAGCCGTGATTGTTGTAAACTCAGATGAATTCCTAGGAGCTGCAGTACAGCTGAGTAAGAAACCAGGGATCAAAGTGTTTTGACATCAAACTCTCTTTAGAAGGAAGCATGTAGTTCTCATAATTTAAAACAAGCAGACATAACCAGTTCTGCTGATTGTGTTTAGTCTGTATAACAATGATGAGAGAACATCACAATATGCCATGGGTGTAATATGCTGCTTTGCATGTTAAATGACCCTTTCTGTGAAGGCTGGGGTTGTGTGTTGTGCAACACTGCCAATATTAGCATTGTGGTACTTCTGTTTTGGGTGGGGGGCTAGCAGCTTCTCAAGGGATTTGTACTGAAGTCATACTCTATTTTTTGCTACCACCTGCTTTTGCTCTTAAATAATTTGATCTTATTGAAAGAGCTAAACCTGTGCTTAAGGGACTTTTTCTTAGCATGGAGGAGCAGGAGAGGCCTTGGGACTCTAGCTGCTAATATGTAGGAGTAAAGTCTCCTTCAAGATTCAGTTTTTCTTGCTTCTCCCCCCAGTCTTAATGTAGTATCTCCAAAGCAGTAGTCTTAGCAAAGAGAAATTGAGATTAGTAGGAGCTGGGAGTAGGAATGCAGTTAGCCTCCTCAGTGCTGCTTCTGCAGTTGTCTCTACGTGGTGGGATAAATGGGGAGGGAAATCAAGAGGCATGTGGGAATTGTAGTGTTTGTTCTGGCTGGGTATCTGCAGTACAGTTTTATCAGCTCTAACTTAATATTATGTGTTGTAAACATCTAGAGTAATGAATAAATGATACATGTGCTTATTGTTGACTGGTAGGGAATTCATGAAAACATTAAGCCTCCACTCCTCTTTGTAGTGTTTCTCTATTACTCATATTTAGCTTTATCAGCTCAATATTTTTGTTTGTTTTCCTACATTACGTTGAAGAAAGTGGCTTGGCTACAGTTTAATTGTTGTATTTAAAATTAGTGTAACAGGTCAACTACACTGCTTTATGATGTTAAATCCAAAAATGTTCCAATTCCTTATAATTGTGCAGTGTTTCATTAAATCTTTCTGTACCATAAGTCAATCTGTGTAGCCTGTATACCTGTAGCCATTTTAATTAATATGGTATTAAGTAGTTAGAAGAGCTGTTAGCAGTATAATTACTCAATTTCATATTCAGCCTGTTGCTGATGAAACATCGTTTCACTTAAATTCAGAGTCTTCCTGAGACAGTTGCTGTACTTCACTGAAAGAACAACTGAAGCATGCAGAAAGTGCTCTCCAGAGAAACTAAACATAAGTTGCAGTGCTAAATACTGAACTCCTCTCCCACTCCCTGTAGCTGGAAGTGGATAAACGTGTTATAAAGTGAAACAGTGATCTTGGGCCATGTAAAATTGGAGTAGTACAAAGGACCAGCAGACTGTTTACATTCCTTGTGAAGCTTATTTTGCTTTATGTTGATCATCCTTCTGACTGAACTGTAGCTCCAAGCCTGTGCAGGAGGAATGACTGCCAGTCACAGTACACATTGAATTTGAAGTTGTTACAGCTTGTGCATTCAGTTCCTGTGAGAGGTGGAGAATAGCTGCAGTGAAAGAAAGATCCAGGATTTGATATAGTAGTAGTCAAGCTGAGAATTAACACAAGTCTTACTGTTTGTTTAGCTCTGGTTTAATGCAGTTGAATAGTTGTTTTTAGATGCGAAATCTGTAGCTGTGAGTCTTCATAAATTCATAAAGAACTTGCATTTTGCTCATTCTTCCTATAGAGGATGTTATAGTTCAGTCCCCTAGCAAGGGAAGGGGGATAAGGACTTAGTTTTTGTCTGTCTGGTGGCAGACCAGCTGCAGTAGTCCAAACTATGGCAACCCTGCTATAGTGAAGTATAGGTGCATACTGCTTAAGCTGCTGTGGTTTAATCATATTCTTAACTCCAGTGCTTCTGTTGGAGCAGTGAATTATAAATTTATTCACTAGATTGAGCTCTTCCAAAGGGATTGGAGCTTACAATGGAAATTCTGTAAAAGACTAAATACACCAGTGTGCAGACTGGAAACAGTACTTGCTGTAATTCAGTGTACAGAGTGTTCTTGATCTAAAATTAAACTTTTTCTTAGTCATTGATTTGCTTTTAAAAGCTTGTCTTAGTCCCCTTTTTTATTTTCCTTCACTAGCAAAGATCTGTGCTTACCTGCAGGGAAAACTTGCTTATACAAATCTCAGGTTCCTAGGTTGGGGATTTCATCCCTTAGATGGATAGACGCATAGATCTGTAGGCAGGGTTCTCCCTTCTAATGAGTAACTAATGCAGGCTCTTGAACAAAGCCAGCTAATGTGCAGAAAGCTTGTGTGTATGGCATGTTCTTGACACATAAGTTTTATGTGGCTTGGTGCAACACTGAGAAGCTAAGGTATCCTGGTTTGAAATATAAAGGATGTAGATTTACTTCTGTCATTTTCTGGACAAAAACACTTTCTGTTTGGGTAGTCGGAGATGTCTTGTTAAGAATTGCTATCTGTTGTGCAATAGGCATAACTGAGCTGAAGTGTAATGGCTTTCATGAATTTGCTTTGGCTAGACATGTGGACTTGAAAGCACTCGGGATATTTGCAAGTTGTAAATGGCTTCTTGGACTTGTATTCAGACGGTAGAGCTGAATATCATGACATAATTCAGCTATTTAGTGTTGAAGATACCATGTTTGCTCACTGGATCTCTTAAATGCCCTATAGGTTGTAGGGAGACTCATTCAATAGATCTAATCGTCATCACAGGTATACAGGAACAGATTTTTGTGTAGGGAGTAACTGTCACTTAAGATGAAAGCCTAATTGCAACTGCAACTAAAACTTGTGAGCTCATGGTCTTCCATGTTTTAGCTCTTACAGACTTCCTCACCTGTTAAGATTGGAGCTATAGGAGATGAGGTTAGCCTATTGAGAGAGGTTATTGAACCACTGTATGCATATTCTTATACAGCATTATTATAACTCTATAGAGTCACCTGAGTA